TTAGATATTCTTAAGGATTGAAGGTAACAAATATTAAAAATTATATTATTCATTGAATCCGTACGCAAGTGTGAAGGGGAATGGCTAGATTCATTATTATACCGTATGGTCGAAAAAAACGACGTCCAGTTGGCTTGTAAATGACGATCGACGACATTCCCCATATAATTTTACATATAGAAGGACAGCGATCTTCATTTCATAGCTAGCGATCTTCATTTCATAGCTAGCGATCTTCATTTCATAGCTATCGCTGACGCCGTCTTTTTCGATGTCGTTTTGTATAGTTTTTATGTCATTTTATATGTAGAATTATATGGGGAATATCATCGATCGTAATTTACAAGCCAACTGGACGTCGCTTTTTTTCGATTGTACGGTTTAACAATGAATCTAGTCAGGGGCGTAGATAGGTGTATGTTATGGGGTGGTACTATGATTGTCGCAAAAAAAAAATCACCGTCGGAATTTCTTTTTGTCGAATTAAAACGACGGCGATTTTTTTGTCTCAAAAAAAAGATATAAAACATAACACAAAAAATTAAAATATAGATTTGTAAATAACATAAACAAAAATGAAACAACGACGTTTATTAGTTAATTTTCTATAAACTATAAAAAAAACTCTAAACTATCAAAAAAACTATAAAAACTATAAACTATAAATAAAACTACAAAACAAAATCAAGTTTTCTAGTACGCTGTTTGGAAAACCTATCAATAACAGCATCAACATTTATTTCAATATCTTTATGGATATTGATTAGAGTTAACCCCACTAATCTGTCCTGGCCAATAATTAATTAATTAAATAAATATAAATAAAAATAATTAATTAAATAAATTAATTAATTTTAATTAAAAAAAATCCTTTCATAGTCAATGACTATTTCAATTCTCGTATCTCATCAAGCGTCAGGGGGGGTACTGTCCCCCAGTACCCCCCCCCCCTTATCTACGCCCTTGAATCTAGTCAATTCCCTTCGCACTTGCTTACGGATTCAATGAATAATGCAATTATTAATATTCATTTGTGAAATTGTCATTTCCAAACAAACAAGACGCCGCGTTTTTCTTGATCATACAGTATATATGTATATACACGTTTAAAACATATGTTATTACATTATTTTTATTTAATTATACATTATAATACTAATGTTAATAAATAAATAATTGTCTTTAGAATCAGTCCACTGTGACTGTTAAATAAATTTTGCATTATCGACTTAGATATTCTAATATTATAAAGGTGAGACTATAAAATACAAAATTGTATATGCATTACTCAAAAATGAACGATATATTAGTTTACGTTTTAATAAATATTTTGTACCGTCTAGGTACAAGCTAATTTCTGATGCTACGCTATTGGAGAATTTTTGGTGACAACTTGCCTCACTTTCAGCTGCCGTGTTACAGAGCGTGTTACCTGTCCCCTCTCTTTCCTTGTCTAAGAAGGGTACAAAATGCATTCGGAAGTATAAGAAGATCTGTTCAAAGAGCTATAAATAAGACTGAACGAAAAATAAATTTGTGCATTATGGAGGGTGCGGTAACCCTTTCGAACATGCAGAGCATGAGAAACGTGTTTGTAGAAGTTGATTTATTTATAATAACTACGATTAATATTATGCATATTATTAGATCGTACACTGGGATTTCAAATTCACAATAAAAAAAGTTAATAATGATAGATATCTTTAAATTGTTGACCTGGATATTAATTATTTGAATCTTTCAATTGACGTGATTTGGTTGTGATTATTCAATGTTAATTAGCGCTGATCAATATTGTTGTGCTGAATATAATCAGATGAAATAAATTAAAAAACCAGAGTCGGACTTGAAATTATTTTAAATAACAATTAAATAGTTTTTTCATTGTTAAGGTATCCAAAACAAAAAAAATATCAAGTGTGGCATATCATTGTACTCAGGAGACCGAAGTCTTTCAAAATTTGAAATAAAAAATGCAGGTCCGTATTTAAAAAAATTAAGTTGGCCTCTGTATCTCTACAAATTCATCAGCTAATTTGAAAATCTAAAAATACCCATCAGATAGCCCCTAATAAAGTGGTTATGAGAATGTGCAATTAGTTTTTGATTTTCGAAAAACTAACGACAGGAAAAAAAAAATAAAATTAATTTAAAAAATCCGTTTTTCCAAAAACTCCGCAATCCTTTGAAATTTTTAAACTTTTGGTGGCATCTGGTGAACATGCCAAGGAGGCAACTTTTGCCCTAATTTAACCATCTTCGTATCTATATTACGGTTTCCGAGATACCAATGCCTCGTAACCTCGAATTTGTAGCACGCATTGTAGAGTGTTTGTTATCAGAATTTATATAATTTTACAGATAATTTAAGTATGCACAAAAATGGGGGATACCCATTTAAAATAAGAAAGTGATTGTCAACTTCCGGTATTTCTGGAAGTGCCGCCATATTGAAAATATTTTTAATTGATAGATCTCATTGTGAAACAATGATGTGCAAAAAATCTCCGATCTAGATCTTTTAGTTCCCATAGATAAAAGACTTATACTATTAAATAGATAGGCAACTTATAATACATTTCAATTTTATTATACAAGGGCGCCTCTGGTAGACGGAGGAAGAAATACTAATGGAAGAGAGGGGTGCGGGGAAGGGGGGTTGTTTTAGTTAATTTAAAATATATTTAGATTAAGATAAGAACACTTTGTGTGCTTTTAATTAGGTCGATCATATTATAAACGATAAATCAACTGAATTAAAAGCATACAAAGTGTTCTTATATGTCGGATATTAATTAAAAAATATATTAAAAATACTAGAAATAGCATATATTAAGTTGTTACAGTTATAATTTAATCTTTGGCGGTTTTCAGCAAATAGCAGGCAGTTTTACATAATTTTCCTCCCTTTGAAGTGAATTGGAAACGGCTAGGTATATAATTTTGGTGTAGGCAAGATTCCCAGTTTGTTTCCGTTTGGGACCTGAAATAATAAAAACAAATTAAATCAGATGTAATCATCTGCTGATCATGCTAATATAAAACGCGCGTCCTTAATTCCTTACATGCACCGTAAAAAAATTTAAATAACTGCTCTGCAAGTAGCATTTATTAGCAGTACTAATTTAAAAAATCTATAACTGTAAGTAGATATGTTTAATTTACTTACCATTGTATCCTTCGGAAACCAGGAGTACAACAATTAAACTCCATGATAAAAAATAATTAAAAGTTATTACAAAACACAAATTGTCCCACCATTTTTAAAAAACATTGTCTAAAACAGAATACTGGCAAAAAATCTGAAGGAATTTAATTTTACAATAATTCGACAAATCAAAACGACATCAAACCGTAAAATCACAACAAAAGCGTCTCTGAGTGACAGTTAAAAATCAAATTTTATTATTGTCAGATATTGACATTTGCATTGTTAATATTGACAGTTTTAATATTTTGCGCCTCTGCATCTTGGAGGAAAAACTATTTTTAATGAACTGTCATTTCCATTTAAGTTTCCCAGCCATGTTTAGTTCCCTAGAAACTTCTAATGCACGCTCAGTTTGGGACACCCTGTATATCTAATGAAAAATACATTTTCATACGGTATTATAACAAAGTATTGTAACATGTTTGTACAAAAATATGTATATAGTTTTTGGTATACTTTGCACTTCCCGTTTTTGATATACGGTATACAGGGTGCTACAAATTTGTGGTACGAAAAAGGGTATCTCGGAAACCGTAATAGATACGAACATGTTTAATTTCTTAGATTAAGAATAACTTAAATTCGGGCAAGTTTGCGCCTTGGGATGTTTATCAAAAGATGCCATCAAAAAAGTTTCAATAATTTCAAGGCCCAAGGCAACTTTGCTCCAATTTAACCATGTTTGTATTTATTATGGTTTCGGATATACATTCGGATATACATTTTATTCTTAATCTAAGGGATATACCAATGCTCGAATTTATGGCACCCTGTATAGTGGGTTGAACTCTTCCCGAATCATTTTAAGTGTCTCACACAATTTACAATTTTCGATTAGAATAATGCAGAGTTCGATTAAAATAATGCAAAAGCATTTTTCAATGTAATTTTACGCGAGGATGCCGATTTCCTACCTGATTTATTTTAAAACGTCAATTTTGACAGATACGACGCCATCTTGAATTTTTTAAATGGAAATCCTCACATATTTTAACATCGTCCGGTAGACCATTTTTAGATAATTTCAAAAATACATGTTTATTGTTTAGTATACCTCGCACTTAGCGTTCTCGATATACAGGGGGCTCTCGATATACCGGATGATGCTAAAATATGTGCGGGTTTCCCTTTAAGAAAATTCAAGATGGTGTCATATCTGTCAAAATTGATGTTTTAGCAAGTTTTCATATAAAAAATCGGCATCGTCCCTCGCGGAAAATCACATTAATTTATCTTTAAGCAGGAAACAGGAAAATTGATTATAAATTGAGTGAGACATTTGCATATTTATATTTCAAAACAAAATTAATCGCTTAGTTTTCTTACAGGAATAATACTTTTGCGATTTTTTTAATTTTAATTATTAAAAACTAATTAATTTTTCAGTCTGAATAAACAAATATTCTGGTCTGTACATGTAAACGTAGTCCAATAAAAATAGAAAAGGATGGCCTTCTTTGTATGTCTGCCGGTGACACAGATGAAGGATGTCTCTATCTTTTTCTTTATACTTATGAATTGTTTATTGATCTACTAAGTTGTCAATTAGCAGAACAAGATATTGTTTTTCACATTTTGTCGGGTTTGAATTTCATAAAGTTTTAGACGTTTTACGAAGGTGTGGACGATATTCAATTATTTTAACAAAGAAATAGAATAGGTACGGTTAGCCTTTCAAAACAGAAGTTCATAAAAAGTGATTGTTCTATTGTTGAGTTTATAGGTTAATGTCGAACAACGCCCTACAAGAACGGTATAGTGCTTAATTTCGGTGTTTTTTATGTTACAGACGTCGTCGACGACCAAAACCACAACTATGACAACCCCAGCCAAACTATATGGCAAAGACCTAAGTGTATATGATGATGTAGATGTAGAGACCCTCTTAGATAAGTTAACCCCCGAGGAAATAAATATATTAGCCAAAGAAGTGGACCCCGATGTAAGTCTACTAGAATTACGGTTGTTTTTTTTGAATATGAATTATTGAAATATTTTAGGATTCATTTCTACCCCCTTCGCAAAGAACAAGTTACGATTGTGATAAGGAACCCACTGGACCATTAAATAGGAAACAATTAATTGAACATATTAATAGGCAAGCGATAGAAACGCCAGATAGACCAGAATTAAAACCATACGAAGCAGGTGTTGTTCGAGGCAAAAAAGTAATATAATTTAGTAAATTTAAAAGATGGATTTTTATAGTAGTACAATTTTTTAGTGGATTCCACCTCCTCCGCCAAAGAAAGAAATAGAAGCAGATGAAAAAATAGCAGTGGATTTAGGTGACGAGTATGAACATGCATTATCTGGTGCAACTCAGGAAGAAATAATTGATTTGGCAGGTCAGTACTACTTCTCTTTTTAGATGGTTTTATATGCATCTGTCATTTATAATCATATGCAGTACCGTATGATCGAAAAAAACGGCGTCCAGTTGGCTTGGAAATGATGACCAATGATATTTCCCATATAATTTTATAGATAAAATGACAGCGATCTTCATTTCAGAGTCATCGTTGACGCCGTTTTTATTCGATCATATGGTATTAGCTGTAATGTTTAAAACAATCCCACAAAACTGCATAGAAAATGACAAGACGATGCATTACAGATGCATGTAAACCTAACCAAATTAGTACATTTGCAGTCAGATATTTTCACTCTCTACCTCGGTATTGCAGTTGAATTTAAAAAAATTACATTGACAGTGAAAAAAATACAACTAACTATTTTTGATTTTATATTCTAGTAACGTGAATCTTAATATAAATATATCAGAAAAATAGTCTTTTTGGTCATCATATTTACATGATAATAATTCAGGCAATACATCGGGATCACGAGCCGGTAAATAATATAAAAATTATATTAAATAAGCAATTTTTTTGTCAGAAGTAACATTCTCATATTTTTTTATCTTAATTTATCTAAAAGATATAAGTATAGGTACTTAGATATATATTTTTATCTAATGCTTTCTCTTGCTAGCTACATAATTAAATCCAGTCATATTTTTATTTCAAGTGGAACATTTGTTGAAACTAATTTCAATTACTATTCATAGTAACAACAGTAACTGACACACTTGTTTATTTAACTATTTAGATAGTTGCGTTTATTTTATTTGTTAGTAGCAGTAGATGTATTTCTACAATTTGCATAAAAAATATTAACAGTTCTAATATGGATAATATAAAAATAAGCATGAAGTAATTAAATTTGTGTGATTCATCTGTTCAATGTTTTTAATTAAAATTAAATATTGCTAGTAATCGTTAGGCAACCAAATATACGTAAGCCTACTATGCCAATATATTTTGATTAACCGGAATCCAAATGAAAAAGTAGGTAATTTTTAGCAGTCTTTTAGTTGTAAGAGAAATTAAATTCTTTACAACTTTTGAATAAGTAATTTTGTAAAAAATATTATTTATTCCTGTTAATTAACATAAAGTCTCAAATATTATGACTAATAATAACTAATGAACGTGGCTTTCCCAATTTCTCGATCATTTGTAATAAAAATAAGGGGCTTATTTAAATGGCAAATTTTTAGAGGACTTAATTCTTAACACCTTTTGTGTAACGGAATTTTTTTGTACGATGCATAGCTTACGATCGGGAAAGCGCTAAACTTTGTAGTGCGGCAGAAACGACTTTTATAGCTGCGGTCGGTGGTATACCGGGTGCGTCTCAAAAGTGGCTATATATACTATATTAGTATATATAACTTTTTTATTTTTCAGATAAAAAAACGACATTTTGTTTTGTTAGTATGTATATGACATAAATTAGGATTGATTAACGTATTCAATTGTTTTTGGTCACTTCCTGTTTTACCGGAAATGACTTTTGATTTTTAAATGGAACCCTCAGTATTTTTTTGCTTTATCCCATAGAAAATAAGACTCTGAATAGAATGACATATCATATGTCAACTTTTGACATTTTCATATATGGTTTATTTGAAATTATAATTAGCGGTTCGTAACGAAAATTTGACTCGAAATACCAAGTGTGTGGTATCAAATTATTCGTAAAAAATGCTTTTTCCAATTATGCTAATGAGCCACCCTCGTTCCATTTAAAAAAATTGAGATATGAGTAAAAACACGATTTGAGCATTCTCTAACTAGTCAGAACAAGACACTAAAACATTAGACGATCAAATCTATTTTTCCAAGGCTCCTTGATTAAGAATTAGTATTTTTAACATAGTCATGGTATTCTAGATTGAAATTTAAAATACTATTTTTTAATCCAAAATGTCTAAAGTTGACATATTGTTCTATTCAGAATGTCATTTTCTATCGAATAAAGTAAAAAAATAACGAGGGTGCCATTTAAAAATCAAAAGCTGTAGTCATTTACGGTGAAACAGGAAGTGACCAAAAACAATTGAATGCGTCAATCAATCCTAATTTATGTCATATAATTAATATATCAAATATCGTTTTTTATGTGAAAAAATAAAAAAAAAGTTATGGGGGTGAGCCACTTTTGAGACGCACCCGGTATAAATGAAGTTTAAATCTCTTCCGCTACACTACAATGTTTAGCGCGTTCCCAATCGGGAGCTGTACGAAAATATTGCTTAAACAAAAATTGAGGAGAATTAAGTTTTTTTATTATTTTGCCACTTAAGTATGCCGTTTGTTTTTATTAAAAATATTCATATACAGGGTGAGTTTTCTGCGATGATCTCTTTGGGTATCTCGGAAACTACTGGAGATAGAGAGTCGGTTAAATAGGGAAACAATTGCATTTTTATGTATGTTTTAGGTCATAAATTAGCGCCTTTTAATTTTTTGAAAAAGTTTATGGCTTACTAGATATTTCGATAAAACCAAATTTCGGGCATTTTAAAAAAGGTCCCTAATTCCGTTATAATCTATTCTAGACAAAAAGTGTTCAGATAAAAGTTGTAGATAATCACATCCTTAATGAGATTGTGTTCTCCGTTTTTTTTCTAAAGCCTGTCATTTTTGACATATGACAGAAATATATGTTTTCTAAATGGAAACCATAGTTGGCCATGACTTCATAAAAAGCGCCATTTTTTAAACTTTTCAGCGATATAAGTTATATCTTGTTTTCGAAAAATTACTGAGTTATAGTTAATTCTTATCTTTCTTGACTAATTTCACTTTAGTATGGTATTCTTATTCTTTTATGATTTATAACTTATTGATATTTACTTATAGGCTTTTTTATTTATAACTTATTGGTGTATTTATGGTATTCTTATTATCTTTTATGATATTAACAACTAAAAAGACGACTACTACTTTATTAAACGATTCTTTACAATTAGCATTACACAAACTAAACTTAAAAAACTAATATCATTACACACACTTTAAGTTATTTTAGAAAATGCCCAAAAAATCATCCAGTGTTTTGAGTCCATAAATGCATCGTTTTAAAACTGAATTACAGTTTACAGCTTTTCACACAGAACTGTTAAAACAGAAAAAATTTAAAATGGATAGGTCAGGTGATCGAGGTGGCTCATGCAATTGGTCCACCTCTTCCTATCTCTGAGTTTATATAATTATGATATAAATCATTTTTTTGTCATACGCTCCCAAAAACAGCTATTTTACGGACTCATTTCAGTCCGTAAAATGTTTCTTTTTCGGCCTAGGCCGTAAAGGTCGTCATGGCAACCTTTATGGACTAAAATGTCTAAATTCGTTATTTGGTTGTTTTATTTTGTCATTCGAAATTTGTCACAAAATCACATAAAATTATACATATATTTATAATTAAATTATTAAATACTAACAATATCAAAAGCTAAGTTATTTGTTTAAAGTAAGTACCTAGGTACCTATTTAAAGAGGCTTTTAAATTAAAATATTCTTAAATTACAGTCACAAACAAGACATAATCATGTGGTACATTTTTGGCCTAAGACAAGCATATTTTCTATACAACTCAACTGGATTGACAACGTTCCCTTCGTTCACCACCGGAAACACTCTTTTGATATTAGTTTTTGTATCCGCAAGGGTAACTAAAAGGCAGCTGTTGTCTTTTTCTATGATGTCTTGCACTCGTAGAGAGTACAATTCTTCTCTTCTACATGCTCCACAAAGGCCAATGACAAGAGCTACCTAAAAATCAAATACAATGGAATAAGAAACCATCTATATATTTTAAAAATCATTATCGCAAACTTACCTTAGTAAGTAAATAAGTTTCATCACTAGCCGTGGCCAAAAAATCACCGATCTCTTTTATGGACAAAACCTTAGACTTTTTAGGCTCGTAACCAACCGAATTCCTCTTCAAAAAAGCAATAAGTTTTGGAAATTTGTCAATATAAATATCTTCTTTAACACTTAACACTGCTCTCAGCATGGAATATTTCGACCAAATTGACGATGGTTTGAATGTTTGTGACTGTAATTTAAGAATATTTTAATTTAAAAGCCTCTTTTAAATAGGTACCTAGGTACTTACTTTTCGTGGAAATAATTTAGCAATACATCTTCATTTACAACGAATACGCCATTTTTGTCTTTCCATTCATTAAAAACATCATATTCTTTCTGGTAAATGGCACGAGACTTCACAGGAAGTAAATCCAACACGATTTCTTTGGCCTTATTAGCAATATGTTCGGGATTTTGGAACATTTTAAAATTGTTGATGAATTTGTGTGATTTTGTGACAAATTTCGAATGACATGTCAAAATGCGATGAAATAAACAAACTCGTTACTAAGATATGAATTTATAAGCCAACTTTTTCAAACATTATAATTTCAAATATGGAAAATTTGCAAATATGCGTTCTAAAAAACTGTAAAAAGCGTATGACAAAAAATAGTGTATGTAACACGTACCTAAATTATGTTTTTTAGGACTCATCTACTATTTCGGACTCGGCTAACGCCTCGTCCGCAAACAGTAATGATTCGTCCTAAAAAACATCATTTTAGGTACTAGTTACATAAATAGCTATTAACATCTTTCATTATGAGGGGGATATACATAATGAAAGTCTATATTGGAACTACTCTATTGATGTGCGAGTCTCTAAATTTTACTTTTCTAGCATGTCTTCAATACTGTTCTCTAAAAAGTGTAAATAAAGTTCATTTTCGAGGATACGTTGGCCGTATCCTCGAAAATGTATGGGCAAGAAAAATACTACACGCCTATACGCTTTTCGTCATTTGAAAAATTCATATTTACAATTTTTTTTATTTATAAAGTTTGGATGTGACAGTTTGACATCTTTGAGAGCAACGACGATTGAACTTGTTTCCATGGCTAAGTGAAATGTTTAAAAATGATGGCTATAACCAAAGAAATTATAATATTCTTTGCTATAACTCTAATCTTTCGAAAAAAACATATAGCTTATATCGCTGAAAAGCTTAAAAATGGCGCTTTTATGGCGCTTTATTTTATTTATATACTATGGTTTTCATTTATTATTAAAAAAAAATATAGAACACATTCTCATTAAGGATGTGATTATCGAATGTAATACCACAAGATGTTTCGGGATTACCGAATAATACTTTTACGCGACACGAAATGCGTTATCCGCCGGTTCGCATTGAGTGTCAGGCAAAAGTATTAGGTAATCCCTAAACATCGAGTTGTATTCAAAAGATTATACAACGAAATAAAGTATATATATTCTTTCTTTTGCCATTTTGTAATATGAATTGACGGGATATTTTGTGGAACTGACAGAAATGACTTCTGAATTAATATTTCAAAAAATGACAATTACAATATGGCTACCAAGCGATAATCACTTAAATTATTATCACTTATTAATCACATCCTTCTATATAGGAAAAATATACATAGAGCAGTATTATCTATAGAATTAAGGGCCATTTATAAAATAGCCGATTTTTTTTTGAAATATCTAGTAAGCCAGAAACTTTTTCAAAATTCCGAAAGGCGCATATACATATGTTTGTCCTCACAAAACTGGAATTCTTTCCCCATTTGACCGTCTCTCTAGCCCCAGTAGTTTCCGAGATACCCCCCTCTACAGATATAGTAGCATTTTACAAAAAAAATAGGTTTCTTTTTAATATCCAATTTACAATATTAAAATTACTATGTAAATGATTAATTTTCAATATGATACAATACATATACATAGCCTAAAAACTCATTAATATCAAAGTCAAGACATATCAACCAACATATCATAGTTGACATATGATATGTCAGTCACTATTCACAGTGTCATTTTCTATCGAATAAAGTAAAAAAATACCGAGGATGTCACTTAAAAATCAAAAGTTCTAGTTATTTCCGGCGAAACCGGAAGTGACCGAAAACAATTGAATATTAGAAAAAAATTATAGGGGTGAGCCACTTTCGAGACGCACCCGGTATAGGCCATTAGGTAATTGCGTTTTTAGTTTTAAGTTATACTTTTTATTATTAGTTTTATAGATAACTTTATAGATATTTTCGAAAAATAAATTTAAAGATGGCAATTTAGCTATAATTAGATGCACTTATATCAGTTTTCATGTTGAATTCGTGTAACTCGTTGAATAAGCTTTTCTAAAGCCGAGAGCTTTGCTAGACGTTTGTTATGTTTCCGTTCCCGTATTTATCCGGATTTTTCTTCTTGCAGTTCGGTGCGAATGACCAATTCCCTTTGCACTGTTTGTAATAGATCTTCCAGACGTAGCAAATGTTCTAACTCGATCCTTTGAACTCTCTCAACTGTTGCATTTTCTCTTTAAGAAACATCAAATTGCGAAGATAAACCGTAGCAATAAGAGGAAAGTATTTTAAAAGTTTAAATCGCTGCATTGCGCTATTGCGCTATTCATTTGATAAATCAGGATGGTTGCTTTCGAGAGAACATGTTAGAAATTCGATAGATAAGCCAGTATCGCGATTTATTTTGCTTATTATTTTAAAACTCTAGTTATACAGAGTACCTGGATTAGAATAAATATTTGGAACTATAAGCATACACTATAAAATTAACATTATGCATAGTAGCATATAACATATGACCGAAAAGAAACGGCGTCAAAGACTGCTGGGGAAGACAATCAATGATAATTTTGGCTAGGTCAAGCCCTAGAGGTCATTTACATTGCCCGTTCTCTTCGTTATTTTTTAATTACTTTTTAAGATTGTAATTAAGTCATTAGTTGTTAAGTTTTATGTTAATTTTTAGTAAATGACGTCTAGAGATTGACCTCGCCAAAAAATAGAAGTTCAAGTTGAGTCACAAGTTATAGTAGACAATCGATTGGTTAAACAAGTTGGGTAATATTTGTCTCCGCATCGTCAATTCAGTGTAAATTTACATGGCAATAAATACTTTGATTTCAAATATTTCTTAGAAATTAGTGTACAGGGTGGTCGAAATTAGTCTGTTTTAACAGAGAAAACCTATTTCCCGACTAGAAAGAGCAAAACCGACATAGATGTATGAGCTCTCAAGCTGTTCTTTTAGCCAGAAATAAAAAAATATTTTTTTAAATGGAAATCATAGTTGGTTATGAACTTAAAAAACGCTGGCCTTTAACCCTTTCCAACGACATAAAGTTATGGGTACCTGTTTCTAAAAATGAGAAATATTAGATGTTTTAACTTTATATCGAAACAGGCTTTGATTTTGTGTTGATCTATTTACCTAATTATTTTTTATCACAGTTAATTCTTAGTCATTAAGACATTTGAAAAGGTAAATTAACAATTTATATTAGTATTACCAATCACAATTAAAACGCCAGGTTTACAGCTGAACTATAAAATGGAGAATTTAGAGAGAATTGGAGTGGAACAAGAAGCCCCATATCTTGGCTTGCTAGGTACTGTGATTTAAGTCCTTTGGACTTTTTATGGGGGAAATTAAAAGACTAATACCTACATAAGAAGGCGAAATAAAAAATTTGTGGGCAATTTTCAAAATTGTCGAAAATTCAAAAAGACCGCGTATCTCAGTTGGAAGTGAAAATATCGACAGGCTGTTTATGCCATTAACATGTCAGAATTCGAGCGCAAAACATCTATGTCGGTTTTGCTCTGTCTAGTCAGGAAATAGATTTTCTCTGTTAAAACAGACCAATTTCGACCATCCGTACAATACCAGGCGCCCAATAATTTAAGATTTAATAAGTTTAGAATCGCTAAAATCGAGTTAACACGAAACAATAGTAGGTATATTGTATATACTTTTTTGTGGTAATAAACGAGGCTGTATCGATGCATCGTAACCAGTGGCGGAAACCGCGGGGGGGGGGGGGGCATGGGGCTAAGGCCCCCCTCCTAAAATCTATAAGTTAGGTTAAATATTAGGCTTTTAGGTTAAAAATCGCGCTCTAAAAAGTATATTCCACATTTCTACCCTAATAAAAGTACTCTATACAATCGCCATTCGCTTTGGTATTAAAATGTATGTAATAATACCAAATTTCAGGAAAAACAGTTTACCAATGTTCATAAAAATAATACAAAATATACTATTTTTAATTAACCTTTCGCGGGCTGTAACTCCTTCGGGAAGCATTTTAGGGCATATGTTTATAGGAACTTTTTGTTTTATTTTTATCTGTAGAATCACCAATCGAAGTTAGATACACTATTTTTTGACACCCTGTATATAAATACAAAATTTTAGTTTTATCCTTCGATCAATATATCTTTTCAATTGCAGCTATTTTGGGCTTCCATTCAATGATGAACCAAGAACAGTATCACGCCTCGTTACTCAACAAAGGCCAACCAGTCGGTTTAGGATGGGATGGCATCACGAAGGCGTCGAAACCTAAGATATTTCCCATGGACCCGCCTAACAATACTGACGTTGAAGATTCAATTAGGCGAGTACAGAACGACGATCCGAAATACATTGATCTCAATTGGAATAATATTAAAGTAAGTTTGCCTAAGAAAAATAATAGGGTGTTTTGGAAGGTATAATTATTATCCGCGAGTGTATAAGTAGAGAAGTAATTATAAGATACATCAAATTGTTTTAAACTAGCATGGTTACCTGTTAACTTAACTTGAAAAATGAGCGTTTATTAGCCAAAAGGTGATATGCAAAATCTGCCCATAAACAGCACAGTCAGCCGTCGAACAATCATAGCCTATTGAGGCAGCATAGATAGACGAGACTTTCAACGTCAAGAGACTATACATAAATAACACCTAGATCAATAATTGTCGAGCAGCGTACCATCCTTTTCTCGAAGGTGTTAGCAGCACTTTTGACTACCTTGTAACTTTGTTGTGGATAAAGCAAGGATATTAAATTTTACTAAACATGACCATACTATACCTGGCTAGATTGCCAAAATACCTAGTAATTATACTCCATAGTTTATGAATTATCGCTTGTCAAATTTCTTTCAAAAAGAGTCTAAGGTACTTCTAGAAGTGTCACAAACTTAAAGTTTTGAATTTTAGGCAGCATTAACCTGATGCTGGGCTCGAATTCTGAAACTTCGACATAAAAACGTTACAAAAGCGATTCAAGCGGTAAGCGAAAGTATTCGATTAGCGGAACGCCAAGCAGTCGATTTTGGTATTCTCGTGCGAATCGTTTTCTGGATACGCGTTAAGCACATTCCAGCATAAGCAGTATCGCAATTTCTCAGGCTACTAATCGTTTACTAATAGTCAAATGTGGATAAAACGATGAAAAATGTCAATATTACGTGAATTTTATAACCTATTATTGATTTATGTCAACCTATTTTTCTATGGATATGTCATTCTTATTATACGAGTACTACTTCTCAGCATATTATACGAGTACTACTTCTACGAGACACTTCTCAGCATGTTTTGAACAATATTTATAGCTGCCAAGTCGTTCATTATCAATTACTTATTAAGGAATTTATAGAAGAAGAAATTGAGAGCAAGACAAAAACTAAAGAGCAAGAGAACGCACAATTTTTTATATTTTTACTGACTTCGACAAGCAAGACAATCCTTTAAGGTAGCCGTTTTTAAATCGCTTAGTGCAATGGGTAAAGGCGCTAAGCGCATCAAATGAGAATACCCAAATCGGTAGTTAAGTGCGCGCTAACGAAAATTAACGTCATATGCGCTAAGCGTCTAAAAGCGCTTAGTGTTTCTTTCTAAGTTGCAGAATTTGGACACTTGAATGAAAAAATGAAAAATCTTGAAATATAGTTATGGATTAAAAGTTAGCTGTCTAGATGCTGACTGACTTTTCGGCGATGGTAATAGGAGAACCAATGAGGGATTGTTTTAAAAATTTGTATTTTTACATAAAGGCACCTGCTTAGTCTACCTAAAATATTATCAGTAAACACATACTGAATTTTATACTATAAAAGTTGGTTAACTAACTTTAATCTTTATTTTTTTAAACTAGTACCTTTTGACCTTATCTCTCTATATTACTAAAAGCTGTTATTAGTTACCTACCGTGTGATGTCTTTATTTTGCAGCTACTTCAGTTTTTAGTATCATATATGTACAATATGGTATACACACTTTATTGATGGCTAATCCCACTCTCTGGGTCTACACTTGCTTTTCTCTCGATTTTTCTTCCACTTAACTTTTAAAAACACCCAACACACGCAAACCAAAATGAAAAAGCAATATCTCAAATATTTATCATTTCCAGAACGCTGGTTATTTGACATAATATGACACAAACAATATTCTTTAGTTTGAAAAGAGTTCAAAAAGTGTTGACGAAGTTTCAAAAATCTTAAGTCGAGTTCATACGCATCTGCATCCGTGCATCGTTCATCGTCCCGTCACTCCAATCATATCGAGATATGATCTGTCATAAAACAACAAGAGACGATGTAGAACGGATTTATATACTAAGGGCTGGCAAAGCCGTCGTACGTGCAAAGAAAGTCGTACCGGCAACGCCGCATCAGCACATCGTCGCATTTCTCTCACTCCGACTTAATAAGATCTCTATGCAATTTACTTCCACACATGTAAATGCCGACCCAAAAGTAACAGTTGCCAGCACGGTATAACCCCCTTCATAGTTAACTTAAAAAATATTAGAAACTTTTTTTAGCGAAATAAATGGATTTGTATGAAGGTCATCTGTTTTTTTTTCTCTCATTGTCTCTCGAAATCTTCCCTGAGCCGTAAAACAGAGTATACAAATTATATCTGAAAAGTATTCAAATCATTTATTTTAATTTTAATATTTGAAATCGCGGTCCTGGCGCAAAAATTCTCTTCTAAGTGACCGACTGGCCTGTGACGTAAATTCCTCGGCCGGTCGTTTCAAATTTATTTGACAAAAAAATGACATGTCGGTCTGTGCAACGATTTTGTTGGCATTCTGTGTATTTATTAAGTTTGTTTATATAGGGTCGGGTAATAGTGCGTCGGGCATCTGTAGCTCCTAGAATAAAAAACTTGAGAATTTAAGTGTAAACCTAAAGTATGTAGAAGGATCCTACTTCTATAGGATGGCTCAAAAAGTGCGAGTGGATCGGAATGATTTTTTTTAAATGGAACACCCTGTATATTATTGCACTTTTGGCTTCCCTTCATATCACTTTACGTAATCTTAAGACATGAATAGATATGATTCGATAGTTTCAGAGATATTAATAAATAAATAGAAAATATAAATTTTTCAACCTTCATTAAAAAAATTATTACAAATTCAAGAACTGTCCTGAAATTTAAACTATTTTAGGTTTTTACTTTAGATGGTTTATACTTACTTTGCCAGAAATATTGTAATTTTATATCATATATATAAAAAAATTTTCTTTGTTTTTTTTTTTAAATGGAACACCCTGTATATTATTTTTTTATTAGATGGAGAATTAAAAAATGAACATTTTTTGTATTGAAAGTATTTCAAAATTTTTAATAGTTTCGCAGATACATGCAGTATTATTTCTCCACAATAAATACGAGAGAATCATTGGGTCGCTTTGATAATATGGAAAATGCCATATGAAATATAAAAGGCTGTACTTAAACTGCCGTTAAACGGTAGCTTACTAAAATGCCGTTAATAGGTATGGCATTGTTGATGTGACGCACTTGACGGGCTTTATGAAATATAGGAATTTTATAAGGACTAACCAACGCTATAAGAAGGGTATAATGCGTTTATAATGTACTGAACAAAGAGAGAACAGTAAACACGTTGCCGAACGTACGAAATAAACCGAGAAACTGTGCACATCGCTAAGAGACGTGGAAGGGGATATAGCAGATTTGTCGCAGTTGACCGGTCAACCCAATCAGTACCTCTGTCATGCCTCTGTCAGTACTTAAAGTTCTAGGGAAAGGTTTACATCATGCTTTCAGCTTCACGATTTAATTACGTCTCGTGATACTTTATTTGTTTATTTATTAAAGAGTCTTTGTAATTTTCCCTATAGCTTGAAAATTTTTAAGTGCAAGCTAGAAACACTTGCATTTTTGGTAAAAATAAGTGGAATTGAGTTGGTGTTTGATAGTGGTCGTGCTATTAAAACTCTGAATTCAAAAATCTATATCTCGAAATCTATTAGAAATAATTGATTGTAGTTTTTTCAAAAACTTTCTTAATATTTCTGCTGTATTTTCTTCGTAGACAGTATGTGCAAATCTTTATCAATATAAAAATTACTCTATTGCTGAAAATTGCTATGCTCAAGTAAATAGATGGGTTGTTTACAATTTTTGAATGGAAAAAAAAACAACCTTATCGAATTTTTCTTATGTAAACATACTGTAAAATATCCGATCTTCAAAAATAAAAAAGGTTTCAATATCTAAAATGGTTCTTCAGTTATGGCTTGTTATGTGTTAAAAAGTTGAGTTTTTAAATTATCGCGATTACTGACGTTTCAAAATGTACAATCATTAGGAAACAGTATAGACAAAATTGAGAGTGTATTAGCAGAGAACAGTGATTGTGTATTTCTGTGCATAACAGAACACTGGAAAAGTTTGGATCAACTTCAGCAATTGGGCATATGTAATTTTAATTTGGTTGCATCTTTCTGCAGAGGAAATGGTCAACACGGTGGTGCTGCCGTATATGTGAGAAAGGATATTACAAGCTTTGAAAGAAAATCTCTTCAAAAACTATCAGATCAAGGTATATTTGAATGTGCAGTAATGGACTGTAAAATTGGAGATGAAAAATTTATTATTGCCTCAATTTATAGGCCTCCAAGTGGAAATATGGATGTGTTTCTGGAAAAAATAGAACAAAGTTACTGTTAAACATAACAACTGAAAATAAAACCATATTTCTAGCAGGTGATTTTAACATAAATTTCAATGAAGAAAGCAGCAATGCACTAGACGTTCTGTCCATAATGTGTTCTTTCAATTTAAAAAGAACAATTTTTGAAAATACTAGAATTACAAACACTGGAGGTAGTTGTATTGACAACATCTTTACAAATAAGGAAGATTATGAAGCTTGTATGCTAATCAACCATATATCAGACCACACTGCTCAACAAGTTACAATCCATATTAAAAAAGAAATAGGTTATCAAAGCTTCAAAAGAACTTTCAGAGAGGAAAATAAAAAACAATTTGCGGACACATTAAAGGAAGAAACTTGGGAGGAAATATATCAGATACCAACACCTGATGTCAATGAACAATGGAAAATTTTTGGCAATACCTTTCACCGCATTTTTGATCAACACTTTCCACTTAAACCTGTGTATAAAACAAGAAAGAAAACATCAATATACAAAAGTAAGGAAATAACAGAATGCAAAGAGAGATTAGACACACTACTAATGCTATCAAGATATAACGATCAATATAAAGATATTTACAGAGCCACAAAGAAAGAATATGACAGATTATTAGTTAAGGAAAAAGCTAACAAGTATGACGCAAGAGTGAAATCATCTGATAACAAAATGAAGTGTTTATGGTCAATCTGCAAG